TGGAGATAGGGTCTCACTTTATTGCCTAGACTTGAGTGCAGTGGCATCATCATAGCTCACTGCAACCTCAAACTCCTGGGCTCAAGCAATCTTCTCCCAAAGAGCTGGGCCTACAGGTGTGTGCCACCATACTCAGCTAAATTTTCTTGTAGAGACAGGGTCTTGTTATCTTGATCAGGCTGGTCTCAAACTCCTAACCTCAAGCAATCCTCCCATCTCGGCCTACCAAAGTGCTAGGATTATAAATATGAGCCACCTCACCAGCTTCCAATTCACAAACTTCTTGACTAATATTATAGTTAGGTATAAAGTCACTTCAATAGGAAATACTTTTTAATAATGTTTAGAGGGACCAAAAGATATCCTAAAGAACTAACCAGAGCACATGCCTTGTCAGAAATGGACACCGTTATTTAACTCAGGTTATCTGCTATTGTGATTTCTCAAGAGAAGCTATAAATCAAGATCTTTTCTTTTTAAAAAATAAAATCACAAGACACTAAAAAATTTTTTTAAAAAATCGTTGCATGGATTAAACAAAACACTTTCTTAAACTACAAATGGCTTATAGGCTACCTGGCTTGTGATCACTTCTTCACACAAAACAACAGGATAATATATTTTCATAACAAAATCAAGACTATAAAAAGATAATTTTATACATACTTGAAGGCAAGTCCCTCAAAGACTGGCGTTAAGGGAAGCTTAAAAGTCTGACAGAGTGATATGGCAGTGTCAAAGAGGCCAGCCTGAACTAAAAGAGTGACCATCTCCTCTGCCGATGAACTTCCTGCAGAGATGAAAAAAGGTTATTTAGTGCACCCACGGGTATGTGCAATGAGATCAAAGACTTTGTTGATGAGTATCTCAGAGTAACAACCCTATGCTTTATACCATCTACCATCCTAAGTACACTGCCTGGACCTAAAATGTGCTATGGGCACCAACAGACTAGAGGCTGTAACTGCAGGATTCCGACCTGCAACGGCAATTGCTGATGGATCATGCTGTGCCAAAGTGAGGCGAATGCGAGCCAGGGAACACTCCTTCTCTAGATCTTCCAGTTCCAGGATTTCAATTTGCCGATTTGCTACAAACCAAAGGAAAAGATTTTTTAAATCCCAAAGTACAAACAAAGTGTCAAGTGGCTTAATCAAATTGTCAAGTGTCAATTTCCACTAACCATTAAGTAATACTCAATTTAATTTCCAAAGGCATGAAGAAAGGAGAAACAGGGGACTCAGTAGAAGCTAACTTAAGAAATAAAGCGACATCCCTGCTTCACACATAGAACTCAGTCAAATCACAGTACTCTAATAATAATAACTGCAGTTGAGGTGGTGTCCACAAGGTATTTTACAGGTAATCTCTTTTTTTTTTT